ATATTGCCTTCATTACAATTTTACATTTACTTTACTTTGTAATAAGTTCGTTTCGGTTCGTTTCTTTAGTATGGGTTTTATTTTTCGTTTTTGTAATTTTCTTTGTTTCAACTCGTTAAACAGTGTCATACATTGATCTCTTATAACTGCTTCATATTCTCTACATTATTATAAATACCGGTACTTTTCTTTATTGTTTACTTTACGTTTGGTTTTATTAAATAAAGTTAAGTACGTTTAGTTTTAGTAAATAAAGTTACATGTACGTGAGTTTGTTTGTCTGACCGCGTAAATTGTTTTCAAATAAACCAGGATTTATCGATCTAACACATAATGCCCGCAAGAAAGCGTAGCTTAAATGGCGTGCGTGAAAATGATAGAATAAAGATATTTCAAGCGAAGGGCATGAAACTACCACAAATATTTTGCAGGTCGCGGGTAGTACGTAATAATACTCCAGATGTGTTTGTTTGTTTGAAGTTAAGCACAAAGCTATACAATGGGTTATCAGTGGTGTGACCACCACGGGTATCGAAACCCGGTTTCTAGCGTTGTAAGTCCGCAGGCATACCGCTGTGCCACTGGGGGGCTCCAGGTGTGTATTACTAATATTGTTTGAATATCTCCACACATTTCGTGTGGCAATAAAACTCACAAATATTTATAAAAGATATAATTATAGAATGGCTGGGCCACGGAATCGCGTCTTGTAACATAATACAGCCTTTGAAAAACACGTTGTAAATCTGCCTTTCAGATCTTGTGAGTTTGTAAAATTCATTTTGGTACCCTTCCGTTCTCTCTATCTGTCTATCTCTCTATTACTTTTAGACTAGTATATTTTGGCCGTTGGGAAGTTTATGTCGTTACAACCCTTCCGTGAATTTGTTGACTGGTTTCGGGAAAAAAAGAATACAAGCAGAGAACTGGGAGTAGGCTTCAGGTTCGCGATAAAATGATAAGAAACATGCAAACACACAGCTGTGCGTTGGCTGTAAGAAAATCCAACGTGATATCAGTCGATCTGGTTGAACAAGAACTTAGATGGCCAAAAAGCCCAAACCGATTTCGAATTCTGAGGTTTGAAGCATTGTAGGCAATATTTCGTTAAATTAAATTTGCACAAAAAGTATTAACTATTTTAAAGAATCCATTCTTCCAACAGGGAAACTTAAACGTTCAATCTAAGAGACAATATATACTAAAATATATGTTTATGCAATTTTAAAGTAATCGTAAAACTATTTTAATGTAAATGATTCTGTTAACAGTTTTTTTTAAATGTTTTTTTTACGTATATATTTCCATGACTTCCATTCTGCGCACAAATTCATACATTTACGTAAATGGCAAGAGTGTTACTGTTAAAGATGTGAATTCTCGACCCTGAAGTGTATTTGTCATACCTTGTTTTTATTTAGATTGAACATTCTTCTCAATCGAGGAATGTTTATCAGAATAGTCCAAGAAGTCTGAAAAATCTGAAAACGGTGGTTGCAGTAATTTCGGTTAAAGAGAGGCTTTCACAGGACAGTTTTTGAAACCACAGGTACCAAGTTCAGATTTTCCTGAATAAAACTTACGATTCTAAATGTGCCCCTGATGAGATTTTTAAGCCCTAGAATAAATAGTATTTAAGATATATTTATTTTAAATGTCGGGATTTCTTTACTAATCATTTGTAATGATGTTTACCACGCATTTGGTATAGAATTTTCTTCAAATAGAAGCAAAAGTATTCGTGTTTTATGTTTTTTATACGCCAATACTCGCAATATAACTTTCATTGTATTTCACGAACACTTTTAACTACAATACAGACGATTTTACAAATACGAATATAAGGCTACAATATCACATATTTGTAGAAAATGTCCAACGCAAGAGACTCGCTTAGTGGTGTAATGATTTTAGAAAGTTCGATACATGGATCGGTTAATATATTTAAAACTTGACTAACCCTACAGAGTAATCCCAAAGAAGTACTTTATTGAAGCAGTATACAGTGACAGTTCACGGACAGTGTACAGAGACAAAAAAAAAAAAAGAGCACACATCAGCTTAAAACAATAGACCATTTCTTACAACACAATTTTAAAAACAAGTTTTCTTTTACTTATATGTAATATAAGTCGGTTGACAGCAGAAAGCGCCATCTCTTGTCAATAGCCCATCTCCAGGATAACAATTAACACATCATTTCAACAGTAGAAAGTAAAATTTCAATACGAGCGATCCCTTCACAACAAGACGAACGCGACATCAAGTACGTGTGCTCCATATCCAATTCTGTGTAACCAGCCCATTGTTTCGTAACTCATTGATTGGGCCTTCCTAACTTATTTCATTGTTGTTTTGATCACTAACTATTAACACACATTTAACAAACTTGCCGAAAAAAAAAAAAAGGCAACAACTCGTATTTACATTGAATTATTATCCACCTCTTTTATAAACGTAATAACTAGAATTTTATTTTGTACCTAGTAGCAAAAAAACCTGAGCCAACGTATTTTCTCACACTTCTTATCAGCTCCGGGGACAATAAGTTTTTAAACTTTTAACCACAACACAAGCGTTATTTATCAGACGTCACCGACACACTCATCATTTTAGTAAGTAACCAAAATTATTATTTTTTCTTTCACTTGATGCTCGGCATCTAATCCTTTTTCCGAAATATGTTGTCCAGTATTACTTGATTCCACAATATTTCTTTCTCATTATCACAGTATTAATACATACATTCTTTATTTAATTTCACCTCATATTTCTTGATGTCACGTGTTGTGGAAAGAAACGAAAATGTTTATGAAATACTTCCAATCCAAACCTAAAATATTAATAAAACTTCCCTTTATATGTACAAGAGTTTAATATTTTTGCTTTTTTTTTTTAATTTCGTATTATTCATATTTACACCCACATATTTCCAAACCACAATACAATGTAATACAGTTTCTTTTAGAACTTGTAGCTTAAAAGTTATACACACACAATAAAACATCTACTTTTCAAGCTCCGTCTACTTACCATATTCTAGCTATTCTACAATACTTTAATCTTTTTATTAGTAGCCAACCCTAATTAAAAGTTCTTAAAAGACAGTTATCATCTCCTATCGAATGTTCGTACCACATTCATTTCTCAACCTATTTTTGGAGTCCCACTCACAAGTAAACACGACTTTTAGATACGTGCAACAAATACGTAAATTAATGTATGCTGTACCACTAACTAATACCAGTTCAGGTTATCTATGATTCCCTTTAGGAAAAGTCTGAAGTCAAAACGAAACGACGAAACTACCTTGTGTGGCATTTATTTACAAGCTAATTTTTGAAGTGCTAGCTACTGAAATTTTTTCCAGAATGACCGATGCTTAAAATAAAAATGAATTGTTATGTTTAACACATATACTGTGTTTAAGCCTTATCCTAGCAAGTTGATTAACTACAAAGAAAAACGACCCTTTCCGAGTGAGAGAAATACCATGAATATTTAATCATCTCGTGCCACTTAAGTCTAGAGGCGTAAGAATAAAATATAAACAAAATAAAGACATTCAAACTATTACAAAGTTGTTGTTTTTCAGACCTACTTATATAGCATTTAGAAGTTCACTATATTTGTTTTTAGCGTTATTTATTCTTTTCTTTGTTTTAGGCTTAGGGTTATATTTCCCCCTGGTGACCAGTTCCTTAAATGATTTAGAAAAGAACAGAGAAAAAAAAATCTTCCACATTTTGATTCTGATATATTTCTAAGTGGTTTGCTTTAATAAATTTTCTGATTTCATCTAACTCTGTAATCTACTCAACAACAAAAAAAAAAGAAAAAAATTTAAAAGTAATATAACACTCTTCCATCATTTTTCTTTGGGGGAAACATACACCACAAACACATGAACTGGATCGATAAAAGTAATTAATCAGTTTCAATGATGGAGTGTTAATTCTGAAGTAAATTGTTTGAAAGATATAAAAAAAGCAAACGCATTTTAGTGTGTTATAATCTATGAATGTAGGATTTCTTTACTTATTTGATCGGCATACTGTCCATCTACTTTATTTACTTCTTCACACAAAAAAAAATCACAGCTATTTTAGGTTGTTTATTTTAGAGTAAATATACACTGGGCTATCTGCTGTGTCCACTGTGAGGAATCGAACTCCTGATTTTAGCATTGTAAGTCCGTAAAATTACCGCTGTCCCACCGGGGGGACCACCTATTTCAGAAATGAAAGCTTTCTCAACAGTGCTTAAACTTCAGAAGAACAAAGACGACGTATTTAGATGATTCTAAAAATGTACATTACAAGACTCAGTTGAGTCCTGCGATTGTTTTATAAAAACGTATAACAACGGAAGCAGGAATCCTCTGTAAAAATTATTGTATAATTTCATTCTTTTCTAGCAAGCGTTAGACAAAACACCTTAACGCTGAGACAAACTTCGCCCAAAGAGCGTGTTGTTTTGAATTAACAGTCAACACCGATTAATATTGAAATGCCAGTTAAGAACAACAACAAAAAAAAAGAGGGGGGAGAGAAAGAGAGAGAGGGAGAATTAAAAACAGTTCATGATACTATACTTCTAACAGCGAATAGCTTCCATTTGAAACAGTTATTTCTTTCTCATACAAAAAAAGCGTTAAAAAGCTGCATTTGCAAACTAAGCTTGAATTTTTATCATTGAATAGACAAACAAAGATACTGATTGGTTTTTTTATGCTATATTTTGAGTGATATGGAAATGGAAATTAACAGACACAGAAATAAGGCTTATATTAGAACATACGACTTATGTAAAGCAAATGCTTTTTTTCTTCTTTTAAACTTTACACTATAATTAAAGTACTTTTATCATTTGCCAAAGCGAATTGATAAGTTTGCAGGAGATTTCACCCTGAGATTGCCCCCCCCCCCCCCCCAGTGGCACAGCGGAATGTCTGCGGACTTACAACGTTATAAACCGGGTTTAGGTACCCGTGATTGGCAGAGCACAGATAGCCCATTGTACAGCTTTGTGCTTAACTACAAACAAACAAATTCTTTGTGATATTTTGCAAATTCCAAAAATATAATGAAAAACGGTATGTTTTTTTTTAACAAATTAGAGAGGTTATTATGTCTACAAATGACAATCATTTAGCAAACAACAAACATGACAGAGCAGAAGGTTTAGTACCTCGGATCACTTAGAATGTAAAACAGACTGCTGTGCACAAGTTACTACCAAACAAACCATTTTTTTTAACAATCCTTATATTTTAATCATATCTTTTATTCAGAGTTTAGTATGGCAATCTGCATATAACTTAGGGCTAAACGCAAACGAGTGTTATATTCTGTATTTAGAACTGTATTTCGATAAACGAACCATTGACGTTTATAAGGTTGACAAATACAGCTACCAACTTTATCCCATCGAACAAATAAGATTGCTTATTTTTGCGAATTATTATTATTATTTTTTTTTGAAATACAACCCACAGAATGTTTTTACCATATCGAATCAACTCCCAAGTCAGCCAACCATTTTTCTTTTCATCCAACTCAAGACACTCCAGATTCAATGAAATAAATGTTCTTATATTTTCTAACCGAACAACCAACAAGTCTAATGTTTATGAATACAACAAACATGGCTACTAGCCTATTCAGAATCGAAAGTTTGAAAGCCACAAATTTTCAACTCGTAGGTACTTTTATGTTGTGAAAAATAATGAATCCCAAATTGCAGAGAAAACAATGTAGAGCCATACGAAACCAAAACACACACACACACACACACACACACAATCAAGCTAAATCGTGTTTAACTATAAAACAAAAATAATTTTAGAGACTATAAAAAATGACCATTCTGATGACGATGATTGGATAAAACACTATTAAAGATAGACATTTCTTCCGAGATGTTTTCTTGAATATGATAAAAAAAATTGTTAGCACTCTTGTATTTTATATTACACTATTTTTTGCACTTTTTTTTTTTGTCTATATTTACATGTACAAACTGTAATTTTCATTCTATCTTGTACTGGATTGGATCATCAAGGAAAGTCACAAAATTAAGACCTTAGGTAGGTAACTTAAGAAGATTTCATAAAATCTTCTTACTTGTAAGGTTTGCTATCTAAGTTTGTTTTTAAAAAAGGAAAAGAATAAGAGTAAATAACTATTTAGCTCCAATGAACATCCCAAAAGACATCTCTCACCCCATGTTCTGGGAATTTATCAACGCGTTTTTGACTCTTTTGATGTAAAAAAAAAAAAAAGTTATTAGCTGAGAAATTACAAAAAACAAAATAAATTCAAATAATATGGGAAAGTCTTCTGTATGAGATGCAAAATTATAATAAATACAGGGCTAAAAAACAAAACAACTTAAAGTAGGCCTAATAGTTATTATTCGCTGATGCGATGTCGATTTTCTGTGTGCATACACATACAAGTCTATTCTAAAAATGTATGTTTAATAACCGGAATGTTTCCTGTGCTTTATATTCTTTAAAAAAAAATGTGTCAAGTTCATCTTGTTACTGAGCAAGCGTTCAAATCGCTAACGAATATAGCAATAACACTTACGTACACTCGTTGAACACTTATGGAAACTTGATAAACCAAAATATCTGCCTCTAAATCTACTGTAATAATAATAATAATAAAAAAAAATATGTCACTAGATATGAACGAATAAAAACCACGTTTCATAACTAAAGAATTTGCAGCACGACTATAAATTCTTTTTTTTTTTGTATTATTCTTCCCAATTATTCGTTTTTTCTAAGAAAGTAAAAACATTGCTCACGTAGTTATTCGGCAAATATCACGCCCTCTATAACAACATTTTTCAAACTTGATCAGTTTACACGAAGACAGTTTTTCACTCGCCACTATCAACAGTATAGGACACTACACTAAGCATTACATGCTAAGAACGCTCAAAGCTCTCATATCAATTCACGGAACCATATAAGCCTAAAACCTGAAATAATTTAGACAGTGTTAATTTTGACCACTGTAGTCGGTTCTGTATAAAACCACGTGCAAATAAAACTGTAGAAAATCGTTCAACTATATACAGATTTCTAAGGAGTGCACACAGCTAACACGCATACAAGTTTAATGAAAAGCTGTCAAGCTTATGTTTTGGACAAAGCTTAAATTTTTCATTTGTTTACACATAAATTCGTGCAAATTTCGCCGTTTTATTTAGATAAACTGTCTAAAAGGACCATTGTAACATGTAGATGGCAAATAAACTGATTCTTCTCGGTTTTTCAGAAACTTACACACAGCAATATGGAGTTGAAACAATGCACTGATAGTCCCTAGATATGTAACACTGCTTTATATAATCAATATACACGATTTAACAATATTAGGGCAGTGAATTAAATGCTTGAATAGAACAAACGCCGAAACCCTTTTAAATTACACACCTTTTCTATGAAATGCTGTAACTTATAGTTAACTATTTGTAAAAACAGTAAAATTAAACTTAGTAAACTTCACGCTGAACAAACTCTTACGTGACGTTTCAAACTAACAACAGTAAGAACAATGTTACTTTGTATGATGCGCCATAGCACCTAAACCCTAAGTAACGAAATACAGGTTTCCATGGAAATAGTACTTATAACAATTAAGCTGCTCAAGAATACCTTAGTTTACAGCATGTATTGATGACAAAGATAAACCATTCTATAAAAGAAGAAAACTTCATTATCTTTAAATAATAAATTCGAGGTTTTACATCATCAGTAATTGTACTCAAATAATGTTTTTCGCATTATTTTGAAAAATAAACTCTATTCACTATGTATGGAGCCAATCAGACGACTGATAGTCTTAACTCTATTCACGGTGTGTGGAGCTAATAAGATTGATAGTCTTAACTCTATTCACGGCGCATGGAGCCAATCAGACGATTGATAGTCTGAACTCTATTCACGGTGTGTGGAGCTAATAAGATTGATAGTCTTAACTCTATTCACGGCGTATGGAGCCAATCAGACGAGTGATAGTCTTAACTCTATTCACGGTGTGTGGAGCTAATAAGATTGATAGTCTTAACTCTATTCACGGCGTATGGAGCCAATCAGACGACTGATAGTCTTAACTCTATTCACGGTGTGTGGAGCTAATAAGATTGATAGTCTTAACTCTATTCACGGCGCATGGAGCCAATCAGACGACTGATAGTCTTAACTCTATTCACGGTGTGTGGAGCTAATAAGATTGATAGTCTTAACTCTATTCACGGCGTACGGAGTCAGACTGACAGCTTCATCTCCACTCCGATGTATGGAGGGAACCAGACATTTTCGTAGTTATCATTATTTATCGAACTAAACAGTTGAAATCCTCTTTACAAGGATTTTATAGCCAACAGAATTAGAATTAAGTTTTGATATGAAAATCTGCAAAATCTACTGTCTCAAACTGTCTAACAATTTTGCAAATCTGTTTTATTCTTAGAATTGCAAAATGGTTTCTTTTATCTATTTTTCTTCTCAACATTTCATTGGTTTTTTTTGTTTTTCTTTTATTGCGAAGCTACACAATGAGTTTCCGCGCTGTACCCACCGCGAGAACCGAAACCTGAATTTTTAGCTCTACATCTTACCCCCGAGGCACAAGGGGGATCTTCGAAACTTAAGTACCGCTCCGCTCAACCGTCATTTCATACTTCTTTCTATTGCAGATCACCTTGTATACAGAACCGGTATCGCAAATCTTTGGTTACGAACTGAAGTGGGAGAAGGGGGGGAGGGGGACACAACAGCAAAGGCAAATCAAATCTAGCTATTGATGGAAATTGAAGAAATATCAAACAAACAAAACAGAATATTCTGTTAGTTTTAACTTTAAGATCTCTCACAATAAGAACAAAAATCGGAATAAAGTCAACAATACGGATAAGTGCTAGCTAAATGACATACGATATAAAAATTATCCTACCATACTACAGTATACCGAAGCTTTAACCGTTAACTAAAAATGTTCGTGTAATTAATAAGTCAATAAGAAATAACGTCCCCCTGACGGAACGAAACCCAACTAACACATACAGCCATTTTTGTTTCTTTTTCCAAGCCAAAACTTACTGATGCTTGAGGTGTTCTTGTACAACAGGTTCGTAAAAAATATGAAGAGGCAGTGGTTATTATCTAATGTACATCAGGTTTAAAAGACTAAAACTTCATACCACTTAATGTTAAAACAACAGACAAAATAACACAGCTTAGATCCTGTAGGTGTCGCTTTCTTGAAATGTGCGTTTTGAACTTAACTATGGCAACAACAACCACACAAACACATGCAAGTATTTACAAAAAATCGTGTGGATTCTAATGATAAGTTATGGCTAAATGAAGAGTGAAATGTTTTAATTTTTATGAGCAAAAGTCCCCCTACTTTAAGTGAGTTTGAGAACTTCCCTACATATGTCCTGATTTAAAAAAAGAAGTCTAATATTTTCATTCTTTTATTACTTTTTTATCCTAATCACAGTAAAACCTGGTTGAAGATTTTATCTTGTCATACCCAAAAATCCTAGCGTTTCACGCAAATCTACCACCTGTATTTTTAGATAAACCTCAAACACCATTGTCATACCCAAAAATCCTAGCGTTTCACGCAATTCTACCACCTGTATTTTAGCTAAACCTCAAACACCACAACAGTCGACGATACTACACAGCGGTCCATCACTGATGTATATATATATATATATATGTATATATATATATATTAACCAGAACATACAGACCTATAATAATAACACAGGAATACTCACTGCAATAAAATCTCGCTAAGGACACTAACGTCACAACAGGGGTATTATCACAGCTGATACTATAATTAGGCTATGATATTCTGACTGTTTTGGTTTCTTTCTTTTTTTTTTTCTTGTGTACACGATGTATATGATTTAAGAAGCAATGAAAAGGTTCATTTATATATATATATATATAGAATTAATTATATATACTCTTTATATACGTTTACAGTGTGTGTGTGTTTCGAAAGGCACCAACTTCAGAAGTTACCATCTATTGCTCAACTGGGCACCAAAAATTGAACTAAATTTGATCAGACGTTACCATAAAAAGGAGACAAAAATGTCATTCGATTACTATCTATTGTTAGAATAATCTAAACCAGTTTTTTTTTTCAAGTTCTGTAAAAGTAAGTTGAGCTGGGCTAGTTTTTTTTTGTGTTTTGTTTTTCTACGAACAGACATCATTATGAAGTATTTGAGAAATCCCGATCTATGTATGTTATTCCTTCATGATGGTTTGAAAATGAATTTTAATTACGCTGGAGTGAGTCTTTTTTTTTTTTTTTTCTTCTTAGTCTATTAATCTGCTTCCCACGTTGATTACCACTTTGTAGTAAAGTGAGTGAAGCAGCTGAGGGAATATGTCCACAAACACATTTAACATCACGTCTACTGATGTAATATTTCACCGGTGTCAAAGCCTTTTGTGCCATGTTGCACTTCGGCAGTTCTTTCTTTTCTGAAATGTGTGTCTAAAACGTTGTAGGTACACTGGACGAAGTGGCACTCTTGATATAAGATTACGGAACAGTTTTTTTCCCACGTTCTTTTCTTCTAAGGAGCAAATTTCAAGATAAAAGAAAAACAAAAACAAAAATCACGTACCACAATTTTCCAGAAACAGTTCTATAATGAGAAGCATGGTTTAACAATAAAATCAATATTACAGACGTAGCCAAGACCATCTATGGTTGACCCTTGTCTTTAATGGTAATTGGGTGTTCTCCTCCTGCCATTGAAGGCATGGAAGCATAGTTTCTTATCTGATGTAAGGAAATCAATTGATTCGGAAAAGAGTTGTGAGCAGATTTTAAGTCCATCGAGCTCATCTGTGAAGGGTTTTTTGGAAAGTTGACGGGTTCATAAGGGAAATAAGATCTTGATGGGGCTGTTGGTAGTGGCAGTTGTGATCCTGAAGAGATTGGTAACATTCCAGATTGGATAGGAGTGAAGGCTGAAGTGGTCTTACTGTTGGCAACAGAGAGTGAAATCCCATCATACGACATCTGAGAGGATCCAAGAAGGCCACCATGTCCCATTTCCGAATGCTCTCGATGGTTTTGGTTGCTATTGGTGGTGCTTCCATTTCCTCCACTTCCCAAGGATTGGCGATGTTCCATATCTCTAGAAGCTAGATGAAGCCGTGGATGATCTCCAAGGGGAGACTGGAGGCACGTATCTGGAACAAGGGAGTGAGCAGCAGCTGCGATAGCTGCAGTAGAAGAGTTTTCAGAATAAGAATTTTCTGGTCCTGGTGTGGAAGCAGTATTCTTTGACCAAAAGTTATCCATATGGGTCCGAGCCACAGGTGTCTGAGGTGTTGTTGGGGTGTTGTTACTCATTGATGTGTGAGACCTCTTTTCCATCCTATCCGAATGTTTCTGCAAATGTTTTGCCAAATACGTTTCCTGTGTGTAGGACTTCCCACAATATTGACAAATGTGGGTTTTGAGGTGTTTTGATTCCTTGTGTTTTGGGATGTGCTCCAGAAGTCCGGCCTCATCGGTGAAACACTTGTAGCAGCTGTTACACTTGTAAGGTTTGTCAGTTTGATGGCAGCGGGAATGGGACTGGAGATTGGAGAGCTGACTGAAGGCCTTGTTGCAGCCTGGATGACGACACTTGTACGGCTTGTCCCCGGTGTGGGTCCGGATGTGTTGCTGCAGATGCGACAGTTGGGTGAACTTCCGCTGGCAAATCTCACAGCGGTACGGTTTGATTCCCAGATGGATCCGCGTGTGCTGGGACAGGTAGGACGAGTTGGCAAAGGCCTTGGAGCATTGGGAACACTTGTATGGTTTGGCCTCACGCATATGAATCTGAGTGTGTAGCTGCAAGTCTGCCTTGGAACCAAAGATCTAGAAAAGCACAGAAGAGACGGGAAAACATAATCAGTGAGGCCATCTTCTGAAAACAATAACTTTAATTTTTTGAATGGCCTACCACACCATTCATTGCCAGATTTGTCTGCTTAACAGCATGGCTCCAAATTTTGAATTCTTTATAATTACTTTATTGTTTATTTTTTTTACAGATTTGATTTTGAACATGGATTTGAAATCCAATCAGAGCCACCCCAGGGTTCCAAGGCAGGCTGATTAGACGCAGCTAAACACAGCAGACGATGGTGGTGCCATCATGGTGTGGCGGGCCTTGATGAACACTACCGGATTGAGTAGGTTAGACGGTGATCCGAACATCACTTCAGAAAAGTAAAGGATGGTTAGTCTATATTAAGCACAGTGTGGGTCAAAATAAAGTATCAGAAGACCTATTATCATTACCAATGACGATGCCAACTATTATATTTGTGTATGAAGATCTATAAGTAACTATAAAAAAAAATGATGAATTTAACAGATCTGTGTATTTAAGCGTAACATTTACTTTTATGGTGTATTTGAATACCTCATGGACACTGAATTAACGAAAACTGTGCATCTGATACTTTCTTTTGTCCCACTCTGTAGATAAGTTATGTTTCAGTCTTAATTTGATAAAATTAGGAAAGGTTTTCTTCAATCCGGTTAGTGTCTCATCAACATCAATAAAACGTGCACAAAAAAGAGGAAAGTGCATGAAAAGCAACAACATAAAAATAACTCATACTTTATATAACTGAAATAAACATTTAACACAAACTTACAAAAATAACGCTAACTGCTGTGGAAACTAAATCAAGTTAAAAAAACACAATAAAAGTGAATCTGGGTAAAGAGGACGAAACAGACTTAAAGCAACTCTCCAGTAGATATAATTTGTAGACTTCCATCCTATAAGAAGAAACTAATTTCATTGAAATAGGCTCATATAACCATTTAGGAAGATTTACCCATGAATATAACCCAAAATAAACCCAAAATTAAATAATTATATTATTTAAAATAAACCCAAATTAAATAATTATATTATTCAAAATAAACCCAAAATAAATAATTATATTATTTAAAATAAACCCAAAATGAATAATTATATTATTTAAAATAAACCCAAAATGAATAATTATATTATTTAAAATAAACCCAAAATAAATAGTTATATTATTTAAAATAAACCCAAAATAAATAATTATATCATTTAAAATAAACCCAAAATAAGTAATTAATTTTGACAACAAAACAGAGAGAACTCAGTACAGGCAAGTAATATTGAGGGTTCTTCAGAACGTAAGCTATTCCTAGAAAATATTAAAGTCATTATACTATATTACTAATTATTGAGTGTTGAGTAAGTGCATAAATTATATTTCAAAGTTAAAATCGTGACTGGTTTGTCTTGGATAAACATTTTGTTGCTGTTGTTGTTTTGGAATTGAAAAACTTTCAACATTAAAGGCATTTTATGCGCACGTGATATAAATGGTCAGGTTAACAGCATGGCTCCAAATTTTGAATTCTTTACAATTACTTTATTGTTTATTTTTTTTTACAGTTTTGATTTGTAACATGAACTTCAAATCCAATCAGAGCCACCCCAGGGTTCCAAGGCAGCGAGACGGCAGCACCTGCCACCACGAGGACTTTGTCCGATTCTTTAAACCAAATAACTGAATTGATTGTCACTTTTATAACGCATCCATAGCTGAAAGTGCAGAGTGTGTTGAGAGGAATCAACGTATCTAGGCCTCACCACCACCCCCAAATAGAGAAATAAGTAAAAGCATAGAGTGGCAAAATACAATCCGCCTCAAACCAGTATTCAAAACGTAATTAGTACACCAGTTTTGTAACGACTGTAGTGGTTGTGTTTAATATCAAAGGCCCAAACATTTACTCTTCTTATTCAATTAAGCTGGCCGTAGCGTAGTGGCTAGTGTGCTTGATTGTGAATCCGAAGGTTCCTTGTTTGCGTAGTGTTGCCACAAAACGCGCTTAACAGTTTATGGTGGTGAATGTGTTATAAGAGTGATGGCCAATTCACAATATTTGATAAGAGTAGCCCACGAACTGGTGGTGGGTTCTGTTGACTACATTCTAGATTTTGCGTGGAGTTTAAAAAGTTAGAATCAGACTTAACTTCTATGTTAAAGTCCACGCATAATCTAAAACTATAGAATTTAAGTCGATAAAAGTATGGTATGTTCGAAATACGTCCGTGATTAGCGTTGCTAAAACTCCTAATCGTTTTGACGGAGTTAACTTTCATATATATTATTTATTCTTCAATTTGTATTGTATTTTAATTACGTTAACAACTGAAAGCACAAAACACACACAAAAAAAAAAACGCTGAGAATGTTACAGTGCAATGCATAATACTTAAAGCGATTAGAACAGCTGGAAATCCCACAGTTTATTAACTTACATCAGTAATAGGCCTAACACACTCAATGCGTCTCTGCGTGTTGAATCGCCTTTTCCTTCTAGACAGAGCAATTTAACCCTTTCTTCTGCCAGACAAAAATTGCCCAAGGTCATTATAGTACTTACAAGTCTTCATGCCAAGTTTAAGAAAATCGGTGGTGATTAGAAAAGTATAAGTACGAGAGAGAGAGAGGAAAAAAAAAAGAGGGTTTCCTGTCGGAAAAGAAAATTGAGATAGTAAATCATACGTTTGGATTTCCACATGTTTTGCTTGGTTAATATTGAACAACAACATAATGTTACTTGATATTTTTTCCGACAAAGCTAATACCCGCTACAACGGAGTCTTGATAATTTCCAACTTCCTTCCCCAGCTTTCTACCCTTACTTCCTCTTTAGAGACTGGCCAGACAGCGGCCCCTAGGGGGCGCACTTCGATCCATAACCATTATTATGTGTGTGTGTGTCGCCAGCCATGAACTCTTAACTAGTCAGAAATTGCCACTTGTTCATCGAGTTACACTATTAGGTTCAGTTCCTGAAACCTAAAATATTGGCGCCTAATCTTGATGAAGTAGTATTTACCCAAAACTGGAAGTTTTTTTTTTTGGGGGGGGGGGTGAAAAATTGAACATGCCACGTCAAGAGTTTTGGTACATTCATAAAAATAAACCAAGAAGGTTGTGACATAAATTTATAAACTTTTTTGTAAACGGTAAGTTTGCGCGTATAACGCTAAAATCCGGAATTCGATTCCTGGCGGTAGACTTGTTTGTTGTTAAAGTTATACAATTAGCTATTTGTTCTGTGTCTACCATGGGTATCCGAACCCGATGTTTAGTGTTATAACCCTGGACAAAGTGCAAATAGCCCGTTGTGTAACTTTGCACTAATAAAACAACAACATTAATATAAATTTGCTTTTATAGATATTATCTACATTTATGTGTGTGTATGTGTGAATCCGTATAAATTAAAAATACAAATTAATCATATTTTGTCATCACAAAAAAAGAGGGAATCCCCAATAGCCGCGGCATTTGAAATTTGTTTAGGCAGGACTGGAGTAAATTAATCTACGAGACCTTTTTTTTCCTTTTTATTAGCAATATTTTTATGCGCCAGCAATACCAAGCGTGGGGCGCTCGTATACCCGATTCGATTTTATTACTCACCAAGACCGCTACCAGTCTATCCTCAAATTTAAATTATTTTAGGCAGGATTAGAGTAAACTAATCTATGAGACCTTGGGCGTGGTCAAATACATCAGTCGAAAGGGTTTGACCTCCTGAGTCCAAGACTATAATTAGATCTCAAATCGGTCAAGAGATGACGGAGCTATGAGCTAAAAGTTTGTACTTGAAAAACGAACAAACTCAGAGCCATTCTATGAGCCGATATGCCGCGGCTAAAAAAGTATACAGGTCTGATCCTGGATGAATTTGTATCGTAGATGTTACTATAAGTAAACGAAGTATACAAATGTGCGTGTGTATTACAGTGTATTAAAAATACTACACTTAAACTTAAAATGTATTCTAGATTTTCTTCTCTCACAAAAAAAAGCAATAAAATATGTAGTCAAGTTTCATCTGTCACGATAGTAGACACCTAGTATGAATATTTAACATATATATATATATATATCACTACATAACTATTAATAATGGCAGTGTGATATTATTACCCTGTTGTTTAGGGGCTTGTGGGTGTTTGGTTTTAAAGGATGGGTGTTTGATAGCTGTTTTGACCGAGTTGTGTTTAGAGACTTTTTTGTTAGGGGATTCGTCTTGGGGGCTTTTCGTTATGGGTGGATGTTTAGTGACTTTTGTCTACTGCGTGGGTATTCAGTTTTAGTTTTACGAGGTCAAAGAAATATCATTAAGGAGTTATGAAAAATGTAAATATTACATGAAAGGATGTATTTTTTATTATCGCGTTTTTAGATTCTTCGAAAGGAATCTTGCAGGTAATAAAGGCCTGTCATAATAATTCATGTTGTAACAGTGTTTGTGTTCGTCACTGTTGTGTGAATCTGATAATGATAATAAAGGCCTGTCATAATAATTCATGTTGTAACAGTGTTTGTGTTCTTCACTGTTGTGTGAATCTGATAATAATAATAAAGACCTGTCATAATAATTCATGTTGTAACAGTGTTTGTGTTCTTCACTGTTGTGTGAATCTGATAATAATAATAAAGGACTGTCATAATAATTCATGTTGTAACAGTATTTGTGTTCGTCACTGTTGTGTGAATCTGATAATAATAATAAAGGCCTGTCATAATGATTCATGTTGTAACAGTGTTTGTGCTCGTCACTGTTGTGTGAATCTGATAATAATAATAAAGGCCTGTCATAATGATTCATGTTGTAACAGTGTTTGTGCTCGTCACTGTTGTGTGAATCTGATAGTAAAGGCCTGTCACAATAATTCATGTTGTAACAGTGTTTGTGTTCATCACTGTTGTGTGAATCTGATAATACGTAGAAAATATAAATACACAGGAGTAAATTTTGCTTTTATAACATTTCTAAATAGAATATGGTTA